GCTGATTTTTACTATCTATAATAGTTTAAAAATTCTATGAGTTTCCTATATACTAGGTATGGTACTAAGCAATTTGTTTTACTAAACAAAAAGCATGTTTTGCCCTGACCTGCATGGCTCAGTTGGTTGAGCATTGTCCCACAAAGCAAAAGGTCATAGGTTTGATTCCTGGTCAGGGCACATGACTGGGTTGCAGGGTGGTCCCCAGTTGGGGATGTGTGCAACTGATGGATGTTTCTGTCCCTCTTTTCTCCCTCTCTTCCCCTGTCTCTAAGACAAACAGCCCTGGCTGGTATGGCTCAGTGGATTTGTTACAGGGTGCAGCCAAGAGAGGGGACCCCAAATGGGCATTTGAAATGGGGTCCAGAACTCAAGGTGTCCAGGAGATTTTAAGGTGTCTTCACCCCTTCCCCCACAGGTGTGAGCTGGGGGAAGGGGCACACAGAGCAAGAACATGCAGGGCAGCTTTGCAGCTAATCCATGTCATAGTCATTTAACATACCTATAGCTTTTGGCTAGTCGCTTGGATATGCTAAATAGCTATGGTCATGCTCTGGGCCAGGGGGGATGAAAAGGGAGTCCCCCCAAGATGTGACTGGGGGCAGGTCCCCCAAGTTACGGCGCCTGCATGGGAGCTTGGAGAAGGTTGGCTCCATGACATGGGGCCACACCTGCTCAGACTCACGATGGCGACCAGAAAAGCTGGAAGGGACAGCAGATTGAGGGCAAGTGTGGCCGAGTGTGGGAGGATGGGGCTGCAGAGGAAGATTGGTGCGGGGATTTAAACCCAGACATGGCAGCCATTGAGGGAGAACCATGCATCTTTAGTAGAGTGGGGACTCCTGCAGCCCTGCAAAAGAGAATCACCATGCAGCTTTAGCAGAGAACCGCCACTCAGCTTTGGCAGAATGGCGACCCCCCTCCTCCCCGCAGCTTTGTGGGCAGAAGCACGCGGTTTTGGTTGAGTGGGGACTCCCATAGCCCTGGGAGAGAGAACCACATGGCTGGAACGGTGGAGAGAGGACCACATGCCTTTGCCAGAGTGAGGACCCCCGCAGCTTTAGAAGGGGGAACCACCACCCAGCTTTAGTAGAGATCCCAGCAACACAGCTGAGGGTGCCGGGAACCAAGGGAAGCCTACCAGCCTAGCACGGATTACCAGGGAAGAACCAGGGACTGCCTGAGCCATGGACTTCTATTTCCTTTCCTGAGATACGATACTCTGGACTGGGTAAAGGGGGAAGGAAGGACTGTGTCTGTTTGTGGGTGTTTTAAGGGACATTAGGATTTTTGATGAAGACATTAGGTCACTACTTTAAGTTTGTATAGCATTAAATAAACATTTCCTTTCCTTTTCACGAATCTCTGGCATTGAGAGACATCTTTCCTATAGACGGCGGACATAACGGACCTGGGGTTTCTTTCAGTAATGGTATATTGTCCCAGGCCCCCCTTGTTTGTTCTGTAACAGATTGAGTACCAGACTGTGAACTAAAAGGTTGCCAGTTCAATTCCCAGTCAGGGCACATGCCTGGGTTTCTGGCCAGGTTCCCAGTTGGGGGTTATGTGAGAGGCAACCAATTTCACCTTTTTCTAAAAATAAATAAAATCTTGAAAAATATAAAAATAAATAAAACAACCAACAAAAAAACCTTTTAAAAAACCCCACACGTTTCTGTAGGCCGTTAAAATTGCAAAAATAAAGTATGTTTTAAGTAATGTTAAAAGTAGTTTCTTCAAGGAATGTGTTTTTAAAATTGTTTTATTGATTGATTGAGTGATTGATTTTACAGAGAGAGGAGGACAGAGAGAAACATCAGTCTGTTGTTGCACTTATTTATGTATTCATTGGTTGATTCTCATATATTCTCTGACCAGGGATCAAACCAGGAACCCTGGCCTATCAGGACAACACTCCAACTAACTGAGCAACCTGGCCAGAGTCAGGAATACCTTTTTTTTTCAAGAGCCAAGTTTTTTATTTGTTCATTTCTTGCATTTGAAATACTCCTCAATGACATCCTTGGCCTGGGATTCTTTTCCCTCTGCTATGGTCCTTAATTACCATACAATTGCAGCCAGCCACTTTGTGGGGCTTTCCCTCTCTGTCATTTTTACAGAGACCTATCCATTCCCCTAATCTCTCCTTTTTTTCATTCTTCTAATTTCTTATCGTCATCAACCTTAATTAAGTTGATTTGGTGTTCAGCACATAAGGCCTCCACCAACCTGATATACAGAGGCTTATCACAATTGGGTACAAGGTCACAAAGATGGGCTTGGTGGTTGTTTGAAGCTTTGGCAGCTTTGGGAATTCCAAGTACTAGATCCTTGTGGGGGAGTGTTACAAAACAAAGGGGGGGAACAAAGGGGGCCAAGGGCAATATACTATTACCAAAAGGAACCCCCCAGGTTTGTTATGTCCGCCGCCTTATAGGAAAGACATCTCTCAATGCCAGAGATTCGTGAAAAGGAAAGGAAATGTTTATTTAATCTGTACAGACTTAAAGTAGTGACCTAATGTCTTCATCAAAATCCCAGTCTCTTAAAACACCCACAAACACACACACAGTCCTTCCTTCCCCCTTTTGCCCAGTCTGGGGTACCGTATCTCAGGAAAGAAAATAGAAGTCCTTGGTTCAGGCAGCCCCCAGTTCTTCCCAGTAATCCGTGCTCGGCTGGTAGGCCTCCCTTGGTTCCAGCACCATCAGCTGTGTTGCTGGGATCTCTGCTAAAGCTGGGTGGTGGTTCCCCCTTCTAAAGCTGCAGGGGTCCCCACTCTGGCAAAGTTGCGTGGTTCTCCTCTATTACTATAGCTGCATGGTTCTCTCTCTGCAATGGCTGCAAGAAGGGGGGTCGACACTCTGCCAAAGCCTAGTGGCGGTTCTCTGCTAAAGCCGCACAGTGATTCTGTCTCACAGGGCTGCGGGAGTGCCCACTCTGCTAAAGACCGAATGGTTCTCTCTGGTTGTGGTCCTCCTGCACAATGGCTGCCGAGTCTCTTTCTCTCTCCCATGCTGCCGCATCTGGGTTTAAATCCCTATGCCAGTCTTCCTCTGCAGCCCCATTTCCAACTCCTCCCACAATCGGCTACACTTGCCAGCACTCTCATATCCTTCCAGCTTTACTGCGCTGCCATCGTGATTCTGGGCAGGCATGGAACCAATCATCTCCAAGCTCCCACGCAGGCGCCATAACTCGGGGGACCTGTCCCCCCAGTTACATCTTGTGGGGGAAGTTACTTCCATTCCCCTGGCTTTGAGCATGGCCACAGCTATTTAACATATCTATGCAAACAGTTGAAGGTTATAGATATGTTAAATGACCATGCCAGAGGTTAGTACAAAGCTGTTGCTATGCAAAACAGTTCTCAATGGCCCTGCTCCATGTGTCCCTTTCCCCAGCTCACACTTGTGGGGGTAGGGAGGAGGACTTCCTAATATTTCCCAGACACCTTGAGTTCTGGACCCCATTCCAAATCCATTTGGGCCCCCCCACCTTGGCCCCTTGGCTGCACCCTATTACAGGTAAAGAAACTTTCCTCCAGTCTCAAGGTTCTTTCAGCTCATCTAATAATCAAACAGACATGAGAAAAATAACCAAATCGAATACATACATATACATGGGAACCCCACATACATGAGACAGTCAGAGACCCCATATGCATGAGGGGCTCAGAAATAAAAAGGGACACTGAGGTACAGAAGACATTCTAAGACAGGGATAAGGTAAGGTGCCTTGGGGGCTTCAAAGGATCATTGCAGGATAAGAATAGATGTTTAGTAAGTAGAAAGAAGTGTGCTCTGCCTTCTAGATAGGTCAAAGAAGCTTTTGCTGATAATATTCCATTAGGGTAGGCCCCTAGTTCAAGTTCTTCTAAGTAAAGAGAGGGGCACAAGTTTCTGCTGAGCTTTCAATTAACACTGCCTTTAGCTCAAAACAATCCACATCCTATAGAGGCACATCTTGGGGTGCCTAGCTTTTAACCCCCACACCATCATGCATTAGGGCAATCTTCAGCACTTCCACCAGTTGCCTCTGGCACGCCCCCAACTGGGGACCTGACCAGCAACCCAGGCATGTGCCCTGACTGGGAATCTAATCAGTGACCTTTCGGTTCACAGGTCGGCACTCAATCTACTGAACCACACCAGCCAGGGCTGTATGCAATACTTTTATACAGTTTTGGTATTTGTTCATAACCAAATTTTCTTTAATAATCGTGTACACAATGTGAAACCAGAAAAGCTGGGGTTTGTGCTGATGTCACCTACAAGACCCAATAAGCAGAGACAGGGATTGAATCTTTATGGGCACTTTATTCAGAAGGCTGGAAATCTGAGGAGACTGCGGGTTTGTACCCTAACAGGCTGTCTTAAATTCCATTTTAAACCAACCCTTTTTATAAGGAGAAAAGTGCAGGTAAGGAGTTTGGAATTCAGGGAAAAGTTAACCAGATAAAAGCTGCAGCATTCTTTCATCTGTGCCAAGGTGGGTCCTACCTTCAGTTCATGAAACAATAACTTTTTACATACATTGATTACTAAACTTATTAGCTATTACCTGAAACTAACATTTTTCCAACATTTGAGACCCCCTTAACTTACATTGGTCATCACACAGTAGTGGGGGATTAAAGATCTCTCCAGTTGATATTTATGTAAAGGCTACATTTAATTTTTTATCTACTGGGTATTTTGACATTAATTTTAATCAAACAACTGGCATATGAAAAAAAGAACTATAACAATTTTTTTCTTTTTATTCACGGGCTTTAACAATAGCACAATTATTTGGGAGGCATAGCTTTAATCATAAAGGGAATGAAAGTGTCTTTATCAGTACTTTAGCTCTATCACTCACCATGTCCACGGAAACCAAAAGTCCCTTGGAAACCATAAGAGACTGCTCAATACGAAGTCAGGTATTTCATCAATACAAACGTGCACGAGTTGCATTTAAACCAAGACTTTATTTAGAGGATAGGGTCAAAAATATTCATAAATAACTATTGAAGACTTTCCCTTCTACTTCCTCCAGCTAATAGGAACCTTTTGTTTTCTGATTGGGATGGTAATAGGAAGAGCCAGAGGAAAAACTATGTTGGTCAACATATTTTGAATGTCAAAATGGTGTTTGACACACAGGAAGACCTACCTTTATTTTGCTTCATTTATTTTTAACAATAAAAACAAGCAAACAAACAAACCAGGATTGATTATAAGGAAAAACTGGACAGAGAATAAGGATTGATTATCAGGACTAACTGGACAGAAAGTTGCTTCAAAGAATTAAAACTTCAAGATTGCTGATCTAGGATCTCTTATACATTCATAAAAACATTGCCTTAAAAAAAAACAAGGCTGTTTTATAATCCACTTGAATGACATCAGATGACCAAATACTATAAAAACTTTTCCAAGTTTTTTTTTCCTAAAAATCATCTAAATATTGTACAACAGGCTAGTAAGCCAGGACAAGTGGAAGAGGGAAACTGAGACAGATAAAGGCCAAGTAATTTAAAGGCCATCTAGTAAATCCCTAAATCCTATCTTCTGTAACCAAGGACCCTTAAGAGTAAATGGTTTATGCTTCTCCCCAACCAGAGGGTAAATAGGTTAAATCACCCTACTATGGGTGGTAGATAGCAGAAACCCAATTAGTGCTATTTGCCAACCACACCCAAGGCCAGATGAAGTTAAGGGAATAAATCTCATTTGGTACATCAGCATAAAGCTGATGAATATTCTACTGAGATCCTCCCCAAGACCTCCCATAAACACTCAGCCTTTAAAACCCTCCAAAGGAAGGTCCCAGAGGCACACTCTCCCTCCAAGGAGCACACTGTGCCTTTCCTTTGCCCCTTGCCCCTCTTCTTTCCCTGACAGGCCTGCATCTCCTAAACTCTAAAGGACCCCCATGAGGCTTGCAACCAGGGAGCAGTGGGCAGCCACTCCTCATTCCAGGTAAACCCCCTGATCCTGTCCCCAAGGTCCCCTTTTCTCTGACTTTTCAGTGAGCCAAAGCAACCCAACCTAGGCTTATTTCCCCACCTAGTCCCTCACCTGTTGCTTCTTCTATCCTAGGCCCTTCCTTGTTTCTCTGTCCCCAGCTTTGATAAACATCCTCTAAAAGCACTTGAACTCTCGTTGGGAAATCTTTCCTGCATGAAGTCAAGAACCCACACACTACCAGCAGCCTTGGCAGAACCACTCAGGGCCAGGTCCCCTTTGCGGTAACAACATGATCAGAGAATTGTGACAACTACCATAAGTAAAAGGGAAGCTGTACTGTCTTTACTTAAAGCTTGCACCATCACACTGATACAACACAAATGGTGCAATCCAATGTCAATAACATAACATTCTAAGTTAACATTTCACCTTTTGCTCTTTTTTCCCCTGGTGTACTTGAAGGTACTAGAAAACTTATCTTCAGGTAGTGTTTGAAATTGAAAATTAGGTTTTCCAAACAGTTGTTTTACTAGATTGAACTGATTTAACTTCAAACAACAAATGGTGGAGACATTAAAGAAAAAAAAAAAACAGTTCTGTGCACTTGGAAACTACATGAACACATCAGTATTGATTATACCAGGGTCAAGCATTCAGACAATTACATAGCATATTTGATACAAACAAAAATACTTTATAAATATAATCTTTTCATTTTAAGATTCTACCCTGTTAAAAATGAATCAGGAAGTGTCCTGGTAATCACCACCAACAAGTATTTTGTTAGTTATCAGGCAAGCTGAATTTTGTAACAAAAATATGTAATTAAATTATATATTAATATAAAGAGGCAAAGAACTAAATAAGATTATTCTTATTTTGATTTACTTATTCAGAAGCCATTCAACTCAAACATATCATTTCCTATAGATTTATACTATTTTCCCTCTACAGAACTAGTGCACTAAAATAAAGTGATTCTGCACAATCAGCCATAATATATACAAAGATTCCCAATACCTCCAGTTATCTTTGAAAAACTTAAAACAATACTCATTATAATACCTAGCTGCTTCTAGCAGTCATTAAGATTTTAGTTCTGTTCCTTGAATTATATTCCGAATCTTCTCAGCATCATTTTGTACAACTTGGTTGGATGGATCAATCTTAAGTGCAGCTTCATAATCCTGTAGGCCTATATTTATACAATAATAATGATCAATAAAAATATTTCATAAATACTTACTTATATTATCTATACAACACTTTTTAAAAATAAAAATAACAACTAAGAACATGTTCAGGACCCGTACGAGGTTTTAAATCAGAGGCCCAGCTTTACACACAGGGTAGTATCTCTAATAGACTATAGATATTTTTCAGTGATTTCAGGAATAAGTATAATGAGTTCATTCAGGATTCAGTAAAAAGCAGTTATTTTAAATTCAGGAACAAATAAGCTAAGAGCTTTAACTCATTAAAGCATGAACAGAATCAATAAAACTCATATAATGATATAACCCATAACCTATAGTTTGTGGGTTTTTTCTGCAGTTATCATATCTACAGAATTTCTTTAGGAAAATTGGTGAAGAAGGAAAGCATTGTGGAGGGCTTGGTAAAAATGCATAACTGAGGCCATGACTGGTGTGGATCAGCTGGGGCAGCGTCATCCAGGCAAAGCAAAAACTTGCTGATGATTCCTGGCCAGGGCTGCCCACCACCCCAAACTTGGGTGGTGGGAAAGGTAACCGATCTGTATTTCTATCCCTCTCTTTCATCCTCCTTTCTGTTATCTCCAAAAATGAATAAATAAAGTGTTTAAAATATTAAAATATATATGTACGTGTGTGTGTGTGTGTGTGTGTGTGTGTGTAAACTGAATCTAAATCTTTACCAATAAGGCAATGGGAAGAATTTCTTTGGAAGAAGGGAAACAAGCTCTTTTATTTTTTAAAGATTTTTTTAAAAGATTTTATTTGTTTATTTTTAGAGAGAGAGAGTAACATCAATGTGCAGTTGCTGAGGGGTCATGGCCTGCAACCCAGGCATGTACCCTGACTGGGAATCGAACCTGCGACACTTTGGTTCGCAGCCCGCGCTTAATCCACTGAGCTACACCAGCCAGGGCTTAAAGATTTTTTATTTATTTATTTTATTTTTGGAAAGAGGAGAAGGGAGAGAGGAAGAGAAGCATCAATGTGTGGTTGCCTCTCACGTGCCCCCTATTGGGGACCTAGCCCATAATCCAGGCATATGCCCTGATTGGGAATCAAACCAGCCACTCTCTGGTTCACAAGCTGGTGCTCAATCCACTGACCCACACCAGCCAAGGCTGGAAACGAGTTCTTAAGTGCTATTGATTTGCCATGCCACTTCATAGAAATCACTTATCTTCTCCAACCCTTCATTTTCTCATCTTTAGCTCAAAAAGTCTAATGCTATTATAATTTGTAAAGATAGTATTACAATGTTTCATTCCTATCTTGGTATTTTTTATCTACATGAAGCTAGATTAAGGCACTAAAAAAAATGGGACATATATACCTAATTTCAATGTTTTGGTTAGGAAAATCTTCTAAAAATGGCAGAAACGAGTTTGAAAAATGAAGACATAATAAAACTTTTAAAGACTAGGGCCCATTAGGCCTTGAATGCAGGGAAGCTAAATAGGCATAGGGGAGAGAGGTATGGGAGACGGAGAACTGAAGATAAAACTCTGGCTACTACAATACTTTGCCCTGGGGGCAAGCATGAGGAGCTAATCGTAAATAGTGCCTGAATTCATTAGAAATATAAAACAATAACAGTTAAATAAGTGCTATGGCTTCTGTACACATGGGGCTTGGTTATAAACCTTGGTACAGTGTTACAAATATAAGCAATGATCACACGTTGTGCTAGATTTCTGAGTGTGTGTGTGTGTGTCTAAAGAATATCACTTAAAAATTTCTATTACACCTAGAGAGTCATTTATATCCTTTATCACACATCTTTACGTGGAAAAGTTAATACCACAGCACTTTCCATGATTACATCTTGTTCTAACTCCCTTCTACAATAATTAATTTTTAAACTATTTTGAAATCATTTTTTGTCAGATAAATTACAAAGAATAAATTAAATGCTAAAAATATAAAATAATGGAGTCCTAAAAAGTATGATCTTAAATAATCCCAATGATATTTTTTTCAGAGTATAATTTGGAACTCAAAATATTTCTATCATTTTCTTACCTTCTATATACAATTCTAGTTGACAGAATGCTGTTCCACGTCGCACATGCGCCTTCATTCTTGCACTAGCATTGTCTGCAACAGGTGGTGTCAATAATTCTAGTGCCTTACAAAAAAAACAGTAGGGGAAAGATACAACATTCTGATTTAAACTCGAACAAAAACATGGTAAAAGCCTTAACTTTAAAACAAGCCTCAAATGGTGATGTAAAAATAAATAAAAAGTTAAGAAAGAAAATAAGCATCAAACCCTCACCCACCCAAAATTTGGCTTAGCTAGCACAGGAATTTAAATACATATATTTATATTTAAAAAAGTAAGGAATTATTCAATCGTTCATACCTTCTCCCCCAAAGTTATGATTTATCCTTTGAAACCTCTCAAGATTTACCCTTAATAGCAAGAATGATTAAATAGAATTTGTGGGTTTTATATTCACATTAGATGATTCAGTTTATTCATTTATTCAATAAATATTTGTTTATAACAAAAGTGTACTAGCAAAAGGAAAACTACATAAAAAATTATCTCTTGTTTAGTAGCTAAATAAGATCAAAGTATGAGGACTTGGTTGTTTCCTCTACATCCTTTATCTCAAGGAGTCACATAAAAGATTTAGCATGTGATTTTCCCTTAAAACAAGTTACTTTGATATGAAAAAAAGAAAAAAACTAGCAGTTTAAAATAATGACATGATATTTGTAATGAAAATTAGGATATACTAAGTTATTCTGAGAATGGAAAAAAATTATTGAGATAGCCTTTTCCTGTGTGGGTGGTAGTGATATCAAGTGTTTTTCCTTCTACCTTGCATTATGTGTGCAAAATTTTAATAAGGAAAAAGGTGAGCACAAACTGGCAACAATTTACTCATTTCCATGTGAATTACAACTGATATACCAAGGCAATATAGTAGCAATTGATAGAAAACTTTCTAACTTCCAATCTCAAGAAACACCAGTTCCTTGTCCATGAAAAAAAAAATCTTTCATTTCAGAAAAAAAGGTATAATAAGCAAGATGATTCTTAAAGTCTTTTATTATTTAAATAATCTTCAATTATTTATTAACATATAAAAGGTAAGGGCATCATTTAAACCAATAAATAGGAGGATAACAATTTTAAAGTACCATATATAAATAAAGATATATATATACCTTAGAAGAATCTTCAATGGCCTTGTGTAAGTTTTTTAGTTTTAGATGGCAAGCAGCCCGATTCAGATATAATAGTGGAATCTTATTATTCAGTCTTATGGCTAAGTTGTATGCATTAATAGCTGCCAAATAGTTTTCTGTTGCAAACAACTTGCTAATGAGACAAAAACAGAAAAAAATATATAACATTGAAACAGAAACACAGAAATAATATCTAAGGATATTTTCTATTCCCTGTACAACTGGGGTTGTAGGCTACACTGACTCCACATACATCAGCATGTAATCCACATGAACTTGCCCCTACCTCCAAGGGAGACATCAATAGTTTAAGCCAGTAGACATATTTCATTCTCCTTGCTACATTTTTTTAAAGATTTTATTTATGTTTTAGAGAGAAGGGAGGGAGGGAGAAAGAGAGGGAAAGAAACATTCATCAGTTGCCTCTTGCAGGCCTGCAACTGGGGACCTGGCTGGTAACTCAGGCATGTGCTCTGACTAGGAACTGAACCAGAGACCTTTCATTTCGCAGGCCAGTGCTCAATCCACTGAGCAACACCATCCAGGGTTTTGCTAGGATGATTGACTCAGGGATAGGTTTATGACCAAAATTGCATTCAGAATGCACAGTTAGAGAATGAAAAATTGGAAAAACTCCCCCTGCTGGATATAAGTGAAGAAAGCACACAGCCTAAATTGTTTAACTCCATGGGAGAAGCAAATACTAGAATAAAGCTGATACCATGGAATTATGAAAAGAATAAAAAGGCGGAAGGAAACAGTCCTTAGTGATACAAGCTTTGCTAGATCAAGCTTTACCTAAAATACAATACAGCTTTAGCTTTTTAGTTATATTGGCCAATAAATTCCTTTTAACATAAATCCAGTTTAAATTGGCTTTTCTTGGTTACTGGCAAACAAAAGCATCCTAATAGATATACTCTTTCAGTTCAAATCTTCCAAAATTCTCTTAAAATAAACAGATGTACATAATTGAAGAATTTATTTAAAATGTTTCTTTTTAGTTTTTCAGAATTTTGAAAAATGTATAAACATAAGGAAAATGGAAAATTACTTTGCCAAGTATAGAAGTGCTGTTGGGAACCACCCTGCCTGGTATCAGAAGCTGTAACCCCCACCAAGGCTAAGGCTGAGGGAACAACCTTGGACCGTAAGCCAGCAAGAAGACAAAAGCTTATCTCCCTGGCAGGAGCACCACTTCTGCTCCTTCTACTTCACCCTGACTGGCCCCCAAATGCTTGGTCAGTTAGCCAATGACGGGTAGGGTTCCCCAAGGGGGGAACAACCTAAGACAGGCACGATCATGTGAGAGCCCCCCAAGGAAGGACTTTGGGGGCTACAGCAAAAGGGGGTGATGGACCCTCACCCCTCGGCTTTGACATAGCCTGAGTCCTCACTGTCTGCGAGAAATCTCCTAGTTTCTTGGCTGCCTTAGTTCCCTTGCTCCACCTAAGCCTGAAACATTGACAGGGTGGTGCTGCCCTATGCTGGAAAGGGTGGGTTCCCCGGTGATCAGGCCTAAGAAACAATATGTAAAATCCTGTGAAACCTGCTTTGTTTAGAATGCTCTCAATTGAATGATAAGGGTCCAAGGAAGAAGTAAGTTTGTTTCTCAAAGTTTTTTACAGCTCTTTAGCTATCTGACCCTGACTCAAAATAGGCCCTCAGAGTTCCTTGTTATTTGATCCTTACTTACCAACAATGAGCAATGAGCTTTATCTGAATTCCTGTGTAAATGAACCCAATAAAAGCCGTTGAGGAAAAGGCTCTTGGTCCTTCTCCTGTGAGAGATCAGCCACCTTTCCTCCCCAAGCAGATCATGTCTTGATAGACTTATTCTCATCTGTGGTGGCTGAGGGTGGGGGGGGATCATGCGGGTGGAGCCCCCCCCACAAAGTGCCATATAAATCTTTGTATTCATTGCCAGTCAATTGCGCATACTTTACAGTTCTAAAATATTACACATGATAACATCAAAAGCAGACCCACAAAAGCAGCCAGTAAATCCTGAGTAAAAGATAAAATGATACCACTGTGACATCTAACCTAAGTCTGACTCAAGTTTAAATTAACCTTCACAAACTAAGAAAGCTAAATCTGTGACAACAATTTCCATATCTGAAATGCTTCTGATCAGCCTAGGATGTTACTGACCACAGGTAACAGAACCCCATTTCAAATTGGCTTAAGTCAGTAAGGAAATAAATGATCTTACATTTAAAACACAGGTGGCAAACACAAGGCCCAAGGGCCAAATCCAGCCCTCCACCTTGTTTTATCTGGCCCAGCACCTTGTTTCCACCCAGCGGCAGCATGGACCTCTTTGCCCGTAGTTAAGGAGTAGTTAAATTTATACAATCCTAAAGTTACATTCAGCCATTTGAAGGCAACCACAAGGCTGATGTGACTGCCCGTGAAAATGAGTTTGACACCCATGATTTAAAAAGTCCAGAGGGAAAGAACATGCCCAATATAACCAGCACATCAAAGATGTTATCAAAGGCCCAGGTTCCATCCATTTCTCCATTCTATTGTACTGAGCTGCATCCTAGGGCTGGTTTTCCTCATGGGTGTAAAATGGCTGCATAGTACAAGGTGCCACATTCAGGCACAATAATCATTAGAAGAATATTCTGAATATACTAATATTCTAATATTCATTAGAAGTATATTCTGAAATATGATCCTTATGAGCAAGAAATCCTTTCCCAGAAATCTCTTGTTCACCTCCTTTCCCATCTTACTGACCAAAAGTATCTACCCTTAAAAAAAGATTTCCTCTTAAAAAGCCACTAGTCTCTCTTTCCCTGAATTGTGCTCTCCCTTATCTATATTGCTCCACTTTTCCTCCTCAATACTATATATTGCTGTTTTGGAACATTTTTAAAAAGTTCAACCATATGACCATCTTTCCATGTTAATAAATATAGGGATACATTATCTTTTGCTGTTGAGTTGTAGAAGTTCTTTATATATATGCATATTCTAGATATATTATTTACCAGATATATGATTTGCAAATATTTTCTCTATTCTATGGGCTGTTTTTTCACTGTTGATAGTGTTCCTTTTTAAAAAAGATTTTATTTATTTATTTTTAGATATAGGGGATGAGAGAGAGAGCTAAAAAGAGAGAAACATTGATGTAAGAAAGAAACATCAATCAGTTACCTCTCAGACATGCCCCATCGGGGGACTGAACCCACAATCCAGGCATGTGCCCTGAACAAGGGACTGAACTGGCGACCTTTACTTTGTGGGACAACACCCAACCAACTGAGTCATACCAGTCAGGGCAATAGTGTTCTTTTTTTTTTAATATATTTTATTGATTATGCTATTACAGTTGTCCCATTTTCCCCCCTTCACTCCCCTCTACCCTGTACACCCTCTCCCACCTACATCCCCCCCTTTAGTCATGTCTATGTATCATACTTATAAGTTCTTCAGCTTCTACATTTCTCATACTATTCTTACCCTCTCCCTGTCTATTTCCTTCCTACAATCTATGCTACTTATTCTCTGTACCTTTCCCCCATCTCTCCTCCTCCCATTCCCCTGTTGCTAACCCTCCATGTGATCTCCATTTCTGTGGTTTTGTTCCTGTTCTAGTTGTTTGCTTAGTTTCTTTTGGTTTTTCTTTGTGGTTGTTAATAATTGTGAGTAGTTGTTAATAATTGTGAGTTTGCTGTCCTTTTACTATACATGTTTTTTCTTTATCTTCTTTTCCTAGATAAATCCCTTTAACATTTCATAAAATAAGGGCTTGGTGATGATGAACTCCTTTAACTTGATCTTATCTGGGAAGCACTTTATCTGCCTTTCCATTCTAAATGATAGCTTTGCTGGATATAGCAATCTTGGTTGTAGGTCCTTGTCTTTCATGACTTGGAATATTTCTTTCCAGCCCCTTCTTGCCTGTAAGGTCTCTTGAGAAATCAGTTGACAGTCTGATGGGAACTCCTTTGTAGGTTACTGTCCCCTTATCTCTTGCTGCTTCTAGAATTCTCTCCTTCATTTTTACCTTGGCTAATGTAATTATGATGTGCTTTGGTGTGTTTCTTCTTAGGTCCAACTTCTTTGGGGCTCTCTGAGCTTCCTGGATTTCCTGGAAGTCTATTTCCTTTGCCAGAATGGGGAAGTTCTCCTTTATTATTTGTTCAAATACGTGCTCAATCTGTTGCTTTTCCTCTTCCCTTTCTGGTACCCCTATAATTCGGATGTTGGAACGTTTAAAGATGTCCTGGAGGTTCCTAAGCCTCTCCTCATTTTTTTGAATTCTTATTTCTTCATGCTTTCCTGCTTGGTTGTTTCTTGCTTCCTTCTGGTCCACTCTATTGTTTTGAGACCCAGTTTCCTTCCCTTCACTATTGGTTTCCTGTGCATTTTCCTTCATTTCTTTTATGGTAACCTGCATTTTTTCATGTAATTTGTGCCCAAAATCAACCAATTCTATGAGCTTCCTGATCACCAGTGTTTTGAACTGTGCATCTGATAGATTGGTTATTTCTTGGTCACTCAAAAGGATGAGTCCTGGGGGACTGATCTGTTGGTCTGTTGGAGACATGTCTCTCTCTCTCTCTCTCTTTTTTTTTTTGGTCTGGTCGCTCTTGTTACGGTGAGGGGTGGAGCCTTAGGTGTTCACCTGGGATGGGCACCCCAGTCGCTAGATTATGACGTTGTATGTGGGGGTGGGGGCGGGGGCAGGAGGGAACAATGGCGGTAGCTCTGTTCTCCTTGGGACCTCAGTCCCTTCCCTGGGATCCTTGGTTGCGCACTCTGCCCTGGTCCACAATCGCTGCCTCACTGGGTCCACCAGCCTCTGCTTGTGGACTCAGGGTCCACCCGCTGCAATCTTGTGCGTCCCAGATGCCTTACACACTCCTGGTTGCCTTATGCACCCAGTTCTCCCGGATCTCCACGTGCTCCAACCCGCGCCTGCTCCTCCTCTCAGCACCTCCTACTGGTCTGGATGAACGGGTCTATTTCAACTTCTTGGCTGTCCGACTTCCATTCAGATAAATTCTCTGTCAGTTCTTGGTGTTATTCTGGCTCTAAATTGTTGTTGTTCTAATCTTGCCTGTATGTGGAGGTATGGTGCGTCCACCTAAGCCTCCATCTTACCGGAAGTCC